TTGCTTCAGATGCTACAGCTAAAAGTCTCATTTTCTCTTTTAAAATCTTTTTGCTCTAATTATAAAAAAAAGCATTTAATAGATTTTGCCTTAAGATTTTATTGATATTTTAAAAATATGCATAGATTTACTTAGAAAGCAATTTCCTTTGGCCTTCTCACTCATACTGTTTCTTAAGTTTGTTAATAAACTAAGAATAGCAGAAAAAGAATAGCCAAAAGTCTGAAGTTTGGATGATGTTTAATTTCCTTTTTTTACCCTCCCTAACATAGCATGTTTTCTGTTGAAAGATAACTCCACAATGAAATCTTAGCAAATAATTCACAGCTTTTTCCTTCTGCCACCTACCCCTACCATTGGCCTTTTACAAACATGTTGAGCATGTTTGAAATGATGGGACCTATAGTAGTAGAAGTATATTTCATAGGCAGTGCTTAAAAAGTGCTATTCTTATTTTAAAGCTCTGCTTCAGTTTGGTGCTAGAAGTTGTCTTTAGTTGCATGCTGTAAATTATTCTACAATAAGAGTAGAAGAATTATGAGGAGAATCTTCTTTTTAGTGACCTATATCCTTCAAAGCCTTAAGAATTAAACTTCCTTGAAGAAATGACAAGTTAAATGCTTAATTATGTATATTTAGCTATATATTATTACTTTAAAAATTAGATAAGTGACCTAAGTAGAGAATTAGAAATTATTTTTGCTAGAGTAATTTCTCCCCGTTTGTCATTCAGTAAGAAGGAATAGTTGTCATTCAGATTTTAGGCACATGTTGAGTAGTATCCCTTATCCAAAATTCTTGGGACCAGAAGTGTTTCAGATTTTGGATTTTGGGATATTTGCACACATATAATGAGATATCTTGGGGACAGGACCTAAGTGTAGACACTAAATTTATTTATGTTTCATATATACTTTGTAATTTTCTACCATCAAAAAGCTAAGGTGTTAGGTATGGAATTTCCCACTTCTATTGTCATGTTGACAATCAAAAAGTTTTGGATTTTGGAACATTTTGGAGTTCTGTTGATTTAAGGATCTTCAACCTATATATTATTTCATTTCATGTTTACCTGATTGTGTTTAAAGTAGGACTGTTTTGAAAAAACAAGCAACAAATTGAGTAAATCAGCTTCAATGGTTGTAGAGATTATGACTGTTCATTTGTTGTTGGGCTACATTTCTAGGCATTTCGGAAAATGTTAATTGATAATGAACTATATCAAAAAGAATGGCAAATAGTAATTTGAACCTAGCTAGTATAAATTTTAAAATGTTTTTCAGAAAAATATGCTGCTGTAGTATGATTAAACCTTAAGTTTGTTGTGATGTTTGTTACTATTGAAATTATAGAAAGGGAAGTCTTGGATCATTGTCTTTTATTCTGTTAACTTTGAATTGTTAATTAAACTTTTGAAAGTTGTAGGATAAATCAAATGGTTTTCTAGGGAAACAAGAAACAGTATTAATGAGCAACAACCCCATAATTACCCTTGTGAGTACATAACAGGGACACATTCATGTCTTTTCTTTGTGCAATAACTTTTACAAAGAAGTATTTTTAAACTGATCATTAATTTTATTACCACAGAAATGAGATGCAAAATTTATGCTGTTGTCATTGGTACAGGCCCACGGCACCACTGACATTATGTGTGATTGTAATAGAATGGCTGCCAGCTAATGATTCTGTAGACATTTCATTTGAGCATGCTTTTCTTTTAGATGTCTGATTAGGCTGTAATGCTTTCAATTATGTCTGTAAATTGTATTGGCTACGTTTACCTGATGCCTATTGTTGATTTGGAGTTCAGTTTTCTATTACATGAACACAAGTTGAACATTTTCGTTTTAATTTATAGAAGTCTTTGCAGGTATAACTACAAATACTCATCCCCTGGGGAGGAAAAATGCTTTGCACTACTCAACAGCGACCCCTGTATTCAGTTAAAACTCCTTATAAGACAGCAGCTTTTACTGTTTATTGGGTTGAAAAAAAATTAGGGAGGAGGAAAAGGGATGGATCATCACTGGAGCAATAGTAAGATGAAGAAGACCATGTTGAAAAATGATGTGTCCTTTCAACTTAATGCAGGTTAAAAAGGAACTATCCCTGTATATATGGCATATGGATTCTTTGCTTTCTGAGTTAATTCAAAGGATTCTGGGGAGAAAAAAATAAGGAAGAAATGAAGCCAATAGCAGTATTAATTCATTTTGTCTTAGGTAAATGGAAATATCACACTGATTTTTAAAAAAAATAATACTTGCAATAAGCTGCAATTCTACATATAACCCAAAAGTATTTTATTTTTATTTTGTGAGACAAAGCCTCACTCTGTTGCCCAGGCTGGATTGCAGTGGCACAATCTTGGTTCACTGCAACCTCTGCCTCCCGGGTTCAAGCAATTCTACCTGTCTCAGCCTCCCGAGTAGCTGGGATTACAGGAGCCTGCCATCATACCTAGCTAATTTTTGTGTATTTAGTAGAGATGAGGTTTTGCCATGTTGGCCAGGCTGGTCTCGACCTCCTGAGTTCAGGTGATTGACCTGCCTCGGCCTCCCACAGTGCTGGGATTACAGGAGTGAGCCACCACACCTGGCCTATTTTTTTTTTAATAAAAATTAAACCCACAGAGGTCTTTAACATGTTAGTGATCGATTTGTGTAGAATAAATACTCAACTCATATATTATTGCATTTATAGCTTTAGTAATGAACTTTTGCTATGTATGTATATATTATACATATTTTCTTAAGAATGCTGTTTGCATTTGGGTGTATGTATGTGTATATAAATGCACATATACACATATATACATATACGTAATATCAAAAGATAATAAACTACTTCTAATTTTAAAAGCTTTTAATTTTTTCTGTTTACTTACACATAGAATTTCATATATTTAAGACTGAACATCTGAATTTTTTTCGAAGTCTTTACAATATATTCTTTGGCTTTACTATTCTTTTGAAATAGTCATAATAGCAAAATATGCCACATGCTAAGTTGTGATGTTTTTGAAGTATCCTAATACTCTTTTTTTGCAGCAAGATCTTCTTTGTGTGAGATATGAAATATTCTTAGAAAATTCATACCACAAACATTCTTAGCTTTATTAAGAATGTAAAGATACTGTAACAACTACAAGTAACTGAGAATTTCTTGATTCCTACTGGTACATATTCCATGAACTGTAATAACATGTTCAAAATATTTTTGCTATCACTTTATGAGTTCCTTCCTACCTTATGTTTGAAATTAGATCACTCTTCTTTTGTTAAAAAGAGGTTTTTTTTAGAGGTGAAGTCTTGGTCTGTTGCCCAGGCTGGAACACAGTGGTGCAGTTATAGCTCACCGCAACCTCAAACTCCTAGGCTCAAGCAGTCCTCTTACTTCAGCCTCCCACAGATGTGAATACAGATGCAGGCCACCACGCCTGGCCAATTGTTGTTATTTTTATTTAGTGGTGTGGTCTTGCTCTGTTGCCCAGCCGGTGTCTAATTCCTGGCCACAAGCGATCCTCCGGCCTCAAGCATCCTGAGTAGCTGAGATTACAGACATGAGCACTGCCCCCAGCCTAGCACTCTTTTTTGCATAAGAAATATTGTAGGGGATCCTTGAGTGTTCTGAAAAGGACTTTAAACATCTCGAAAGAAAGAGAAATTAAGTTCCGAAGAATGAGTAATATTTGTGTGTTACTTAGAATTTTAACTGGGGGGAAACATCACCATATTTAGTGTACCTAGTAGTAGAATCCCTAAGGATGACAATATGGCCATCTGTATGTTCTGCCCTTACTGTCTTAATGAGAGATGTCCCTGTGATGACAATTGCTCATGAAATGGAAAAATTATAAAGAAATTGAGAGGAATATGTATTTTTAAAAGTTATTTTGACAGTTCTGTCTTGAAAGAGGCTATTTTCTCTACCAAAAATGTGGTAACAAATAGGGTGACACCCATCAAATAGGTGTCAGAGGACACAGATAACCCTTTTGGAGAGATAGGTAGCTTTAATCTGGATCTGCCAGGAACTCTGGTTCATAAGTAATACCGTAGGCACTCTGTGGTTCCTTTGGGGATTTTCCTTTTGCTTTTTGAGTAATCCTTGAGGTTACTGTTTTTCTGTCAGGTAGAATTCAACAGTCAAATAGTTAATATAGAATTAAGCATACGTTTTTCTTTGTTGTGAAATCCGGGTGAGAAATGAATGCTATGTGTAACTGGGCTAGCAAATATTTGAGTTTTAAAAAAAATATATTTTAAATGATTATATGGAAAAAATTGAAACCACAAGATCTTGTGAAGATTAATAAGCCTAAAATAAAGAATCAATCAAAAAATCAATCAACCAACCTAAGATTGAAAATCAAGTGGGAAACTGGCCAGAACATTAAAAAATAGTAACATGCAATTGAAACTTAAAGTGTCTAGTTTGTAAATTACCCTTGCTTGAATTTTGAAAGATTATGTTAATTTTAAAGCAGTTTTTTCTATAAAAGATTTGTGCTCTCTAATGCAATCCTGTGATTTTTAATGAAAATACAAAATATTCATATAGTTTCAAATTATTAGTTTCTCATAATTTTTCAAATCTAGTAGGTAAATAGAATTACTTGAATTATGTTTTCTGTTGTGCTTCCTGGGCTTTTGCTGTTGTTGTCATTATTTTGGTTTTGTTTGTTTGTTTGGATATATACTCTGTTTTACCCTGCTTCTACTTTTTGGATTCTTCTTTGTAGAGGTCATTATAATTTTGGACTGTATCCTTTTGTATCATAAATAAGCAGTCATAGAATGACCTTCAAAAACTCTTACTATAAATTACAATGGCTATAAACTAAAATAAGAACTGTTTTTACCTAGTTTTAAAAGTTTTCTTTGTTTTTCCATGACAGTGACTGAATTTAGTAGTAAAATTTACCTCTTTTAACAAAGTAACATTGCTTTAAATGGCTAAAGTATAAAAGGCATTTATCTGATTTTTTTTTTCAGGTGATACAGAAGATGGGGACGAATATGATGACCCTTTTGCTGGGCCTCCAGACACTATTTCATTAGCTTCAGAACGATATGATAAAGATGATGAAGCCCCCTCCGATGGTATGTGACATTTTCCTGCGTAACTCTGACACACAAAACAATGCTATGTATATAGGTGGTAGGTTTCTGAGAAAGCAGATGAACATAGAGGCTTCCGTTAACTTAACTTTACCAAAACCTTTTAAGGAACAGAAGAGCTCTCTCTAGTGGTTCTAGTGAGGTTTTCCTAAGTCTGTAATTGGTTCTTTTTCTTGGAAATTTTCTTTACTAAAATTTTTGAGAGTGTGCCTGTATCATCATATGAATATTATTAGTAACAGTTTGTTAGTTAATTTAATATTATCAGATTCTTAATTTTATTGTACTACTTAAAGGCTTATTGTATTATTTATTTTATAAATAATAAAAAAGATTTTTGATCTATTTTTCTGAAAACTTTATACAAAATGAGTTCATAAAATATTAAGTTAATTTTCCGACATTGCCTTTTCACATTGAGACAGATTTTTATCAAATGTTTCTTTTAATACACATTTTCATTTTTATGATTATCACTTAAAAGTGCCTCATATTATGTAGTAATATTGTAATGTTATTGTTAACTGAATTAGTAATAAATTATCTCTTAGTAATTTCTAAAAGCTATTGAATATTGCCAAAGTTATGAAACTTGTTTTTTAGTGTAGTATGTGCTTTCTCCGTTATAGCCATTGAGTGCATCTGCATTATAGAAACCTTATAAGGGTAATATATAGTTATAAATTAAGAGTGTGTATCAATAAATTAGTCATGCATATTAATTTGTAGCACTCAGAGTTTCACATAGACATAGAAATGAATAATACCTTCTGACACCATGTGATGATCAAACTGTGCAGTTCCATCTCTAAATACAATTGCTGAATGAAAATATGCTTCCTGCAACAGAGCACTCCACATTTTATGTTATCCAGATTATTCCCTTTGGAAACATAAATTGCTTTTATGAGATATAAAATTATGTCTATGGCAGAACAGGGATAAGTCAAGTACATGCATAAGTGATAAACATTCTAACCACTGATTCAGTACAAAACAATCTTTTTTTATATCCAGAACTTTGTACAAAGTGTAGCAATAATAGTCGTATCTATTTTATGTTGAATTTTATGCTTTGGCAAACATTTAATTTCTATTTTTAAAGGGAGGGTTTTTTTTTTTTTTTTTTGCTCTTACATTCACTTTCTATCTTTTAAAGAGATACACATTTCTTTTCTCTACACATTTCTTTTCTGTACACCAAAACAGAGAATTATCCTTTCCAACCTTGTCTTCAGAAGTATTTCTACTAGAACATGTTTTATAATTGAAGAAATAATATTTTCAGGTAAAACAATGAATTATTATTTAAGTGGTAGTATTTTTCAGACACATTACAGTTGCTTTATTTTTCTGTAAAATGTTGGTATATATGAATGTGTGTGTGTTTATATACACATACAGACAGAATATTTATACTAAGAGAATACAGATACATGGAATATATTCAAAGAATATATATACATAGTTTCTTAAAATAGTGTAAATATTTTAATATGCAGGGGAGTGCTATGTGTATTCTTGAAAAATTTGCAACCTAAAAAGAACTTCAACAATTAAGTATCTATGAGAGCCAGATATCCTCTAGTAGCTTGTTAGAAAAAGTAAATTGTTATTAAATTATAGCGCATTTACATGATTGTGTTTTCTTTTTAAGAGTAAATAATTTATCATATTTTTATAACCAAATATTCAGGAAATACACTAAAATATTTGCTGTTGAAAAGTTATTTTATTGATTTAAAATATTATTTAACATTTATATATAACATCAAGTTTTTGTTAAATATTAGTGCCTATTCATTAGTGTTTAAGCAATTATTGAGCAGATTAAAACTTTAACCTGTATTACTCATTTTTGATATGTAAATAATACCATTTTTTATATATAAATAATACTATTTTTGATACTTTCACATTTTCTTCTAAGAATATCATTATTAAAATTAAATTTCAAACTACCACATGGACATTTAATATTCACTCTAAAATATCTTTTTTGTTCTTTTTCCATGCCTTCCCATGGCGCTAAAATATCATCTCAGTGTATCAGTTTTTCTCCCTTCAACTTAGATTTTATGTGTGTTCCCTTTGCTTTGATGAATAAATTTCCTTCATTATGTGACCTGAGTCTAATAATATATTAATTATAAAAAAGATAATGCATTTAACAATAAGCATAACCAAATTAGCACAGGTCACCAAGAGGCCTTTTGTCAAATCAGATTGTTGTTTTGTCCTTTTGACTTTTAGCTTATGGTAGGCACTAACAAAGTATCTGAACTTTGATGGATTATAAACTCTAAACATGATATGTATTTTTCATAATGCTAATGTAATTTTCAAGGTACTGAAAAGGTCAAACCTGCACATCTGTATGTGCATTCTAAGTCCATCTTTTGCTTTAATATTTCTTTTTCTCTGTTCCTCTGGTTCAAAAGTTCACTCAGTTCCCAAATGGCCACCTAATTTTCCAGTTATTCCCTCAAGCCATATGTGTTTTGGTTTCTTTATGGTTTATTAGGTACTGTAGTAAAGTAGCATAAGTTATATCTTCTAATGAAATTCAAGCACACTTCAGTGATGCTTTGACTTGATTGCTGGTAGCAATTAAATCACAGCAAGGAGAATAATGCATAATCTCACAAGGTACAGGCACCACATAGAAATTGAATAGGGATGAAAACAAAACAGAAACAAAGTCTCCAAACACTGCCAGGTAGGTTGTTTTCAGCCTGCTTTTTTTTTCCTTTCCTTTTCTTTCTTTCTTTTTTTTTTTTATTGGCCAACTGCCTGATTGATAGCAAAATCATAACTTGCTGCATGCTAACAGGCAGAGTTCACTTGTAGGTTATTGTGAGCTGATAAAGGGTTAGATGGAGTTTTGATTTTCACATTGGACCCTGGTACACCAGATTAATGGAATTTCAATGAGAAGACTGGAGTAGCCACAGCTTTGTCAGAGAAACAGATGGAGATTCTATAGTCATGTCCACTCATTAATACTAGTTGTCTGAAAGGTGTGCTGCTTCTCTATACAAAAGAGTTGATATAATTGATTTTTGAGTGGTACATTGGAGAAAAGTACCTTATTGATGACTAGAATTGTAACATAGATGGTGACAGATTTTTGCATAGCTCATAGCATAAAAATATCATACTTGTAATTTTTCTTTTCGCTTTTTGGAAATGCTTCTTATGTTTTACATTTTTTTTAGAAGAAGTACATTTTGAGACCAATAGCTAAAAAACAGAGAATGATATGCCAAATTACCTTTTAGGAAAAAAGAATAAGAGTCCGTATTTTATTTATAAATGATTGCATGACTGCTGTTAGTTTCATTTTGATATTATATTTAGAAGAAAGTATACTTATTAGAAGTTTCATTTTGTTAGCTTTATGCTTGATTTTTTCTGGAAAACAAAAAAAAACATAATAGTTTCTAGACTATTGCAGATCAGTATTAGAATTTTTACACTATCATGTGGCTGGATGTATTGGAGTATTAGTGTAAATGGTGCATGTCAGTAATCAGATAAAGTTGGAGATAATGAGATTTACAACATTAAAGAATATCCCTTTCTGTACACATTAAAATGTTTAGACAATAAGGTGGGTGGATTTAGAGTAGACTTTAGACAGCATATAATTACTTGAGTTTCCATTTTTCTATTCTGAAATCATTTTTCATTCATTCTTGTCATTTGTAAAAGAAAGCTTCTACCCATATAGCATTGTGGAAAATCCCTAAGGTAAGGTGAAAGGATTCAGTGAGCTAGAAGACATATATTGGCTCTGCCCGTCGATGATAGGTGGAAGGATCCCAGTGGATGTTTGTTACAAATCTGATTCAGTCCTAGACCATAATCACTTTGTGGATAAAAATCTGGAACCTCTAGGGTATGAAAATAGCAAGGCTAAAATGAAGCTGAAGATATAAAACAGTCATTTCTTGTCCTGGTGTCTTTCTAACTAAAAATTTCTGAATAACATAGGTTACTGAAAGGCTGTGGGCATTGCAAGGACATAGGTTTATATGAAGAAATGTTTTTGTTGGAATGGAACTATTTTTTAAATCTTAGGGATTAAAAAAGTCCAAACTATTTTAATCATAATTTATAATATTAAAAATGTTTTTTGGTATACCTTTCTTTACAAAAATCCAATATACAAAAATTTGGATTAATAAAACATGTAAATAATTTTTTTCAATAGATTTCTTTAAAAAGATTGTCTCCAGAATGCATATAAATAATTAGCCTTTAGAAAGCATCTAAAACAGGCTTAGATATAAACCTATTCATGTGCACACACATAAACTTAATGTATGAAATTTTTGAGGAAGATTTGTGTGTGTGTGTGTGTGTGTGTGTAAAATTAGGTGTAGCACTAATCAGTTCTTATCAAAACCACACAACAGATGTTTTACTTTTCTCTGATATCAGCAGAGTATGAAACAAGGTTTAAAACTAGAAAAAAATTTTTTTCAACAACTTAGCATTTAAGGTAAGTATGAAACAATGTTTAAAACTAGAAAAAAAATTTTTCAATAACTTAGCATTTAGAGTAAGGTTTTTATTGTTGTTGTTTTTGTTTTCCCCTAATATCTCTTTTTTTAAAAAAATTGTACTTTAAGTTCTGGATTACATGTGCAGATCTTACAGGATTGTTGCAAATGTACACACATGCCATAGTGGTTTGCTGACTCCATCCACTCCCCTCCCCATTACCTACATCAGACATTTCTCCTAGTGTTATCCCTCCTCAACCTCCCTGCCCCCCGCTGTTCCTCTCCTAGTCCCCTACCCCCCAACAGACCCCAGTGTGTGATATTCCCCTCCCTGTGCCCATGTGTTCTCATTGTTCAACACCCTCCTATGAGTGAGAACATGCAGCGTTTGATTTTCTGTTCTTGTGTCAGTTTGCTGAGAGTGATGGTTTCCAGATTCATCCATGTCCCTACAAAGGACATGAACTCATC